TTCTTTATCCATTCATCTGTTCTTCTTTTTGAACCTATTAGATGAGTAGTCATTTAAAAATGTTATTGCTTTTAAATTGATCACTTCGTATATTGTAGTGTGAGGTAAATTGATATATACTGACACAGTAAGGTCTGTCTAGCTAGTTAAAGATTCATATTTCACTGAATGAAAATGACATAATTGGCCTAGAAATTTAAATTCACACTATTTTAAAATATGTTTTGTGTGGTCATTAACATTTTATAAAAGCAGAAGTACAGTGAGTAAACAAGCATGACTTTAATTCCACTAGTTATCAGAATTATGTACTTAAAAATAAGTGATCATTTTTATGTGTTTTCACATAATAAAACATGTTAATGAGAATAGTTACTATGAGTAATGGCATAGTTGAGTCATTCTTTTTTTTTGTATTTTAGGGAAGGGTCTACAGGGTGTTCAGGATCTCACTACTACATCGGACTCATAGTGATCGGCCTGTTTACAGCCTCCCAAGAGCAGGGATTACAGGCGCGCGCCACCACACCCAGTCTCAATCGCCCTCTTAGTGTGCCCCAGGGGCAAGGCCAGCATGGCAGGCCCGGGGATCGAACCCCCGGCCCCTGTGCCTGCTTGCAGGCGCTTTGATCTACTGAGCTATATGGCTGGCCCTTGAGTTATTCTTTTTTTAAAATTTTTTTATTTTTTTACCATAATTTTATTGATAAACAAATAGCAATGAGACAGTTTCAAATCAAATTGGTAGGACAGTTTCAGTAATTAATACATTGCATACCTTGAGTCATTCTTAATGGGGGTAGTTCCACTATTCCTATCCAAACCTTTGGGGATATTTAACAGTGTCTACTGATATTTTGCTTGTTATGAGTGGGAGTAGTTTGCTAGTGACATCTGGTATATAAAGCCTTCAGTGCATAGAGCAATATCCCCTGCACCCTTACAAATAGCTTCCTGGCCCCAAATCATAATGCTAGAGTTGAATGACTTTAGTATAATGAAACTAAATCACCCATTGGTAGTATTCAATTTGGTATCCTCTTTTGTAACTTATGATAGTAAAATTAATACATGTTCATGACAGGAATTTAAAGTATGTGACATAGAGGGCTGAGGAGATAGCTCAGTAGAATAAGCACTTTCCTGGCAAGCACAAGGACCTGAGTTCAACCCCCGATTCTGCCATAAAAAAATTAAAATAAAATAATAAAGTATTTGACTTAGAAAGTAGAACATTCCTAAAGTTCTAGCACAGAAGTAACTACTTGTAGGGATTTCTTCCAGACTTTTTTATGAGGATATTAATATATATATAAGTATTAATTTTTAAGTAGAAAAGGCATAGCAGTACACATGCCTTTCTGTAACTTGCTGTTTTTAGTTGGTCATTGTGCTATGTTAAAACCTATACTATCCTACTGTATAGCTATCCTGCTGGATAGATGCACTATAAATTTACCTTGCCAACTTCCTATGACTAATATTTGGTGTTTTTCATTGTTGTTTGTTTTGAATCCAAGGCCTTACACATGCTAGGCAAGCACTCTACCATTGAGCTATTCCCGAACTGAATAAATGGGCATTTTATAATGTCACATTATAATAATTAGCATTGCAGTAAGTGTATTTATGTGTAAATATATTTATCCTTGAGTGTCTCTATAGGATAATTTTGTTTTTGTCATTATTTTCTAGAATACTTCTGGGAAAGGCTGAGGTGCTAGGGATCAAACCTGGAGTCTTGTGCATCCTTGACTAGCATTCTGCCACAAAGAATACTTTTGAAAGAGAATTTCTATGTAAATTGGTAATGATCATTTTAAAAATTGAGAACTGGTGCGGGGGAGATAGCTCGGTCGCATAAGTGCCTGCCTGGCAAGCGTAATGTCCCAAGTTCTATCCCTACTACTGCATGCCATGCCAGCCCCATGTCATGCCAGCCCCAAAAGTGGACAAGGTGGTGCACGTCTGTAATCCCAGCACTACGGAGCCTGAGACAGGAGGATCACTGTGAACTATGAGTCTGAACTGTATAGCAAGACCCTGTATCAAAAAAATAAATACATAAAATATAAAAATAAAAATTGAGAACTGTCATGTTTCCCTCTAAAACTCTGATAGAGACTTTTTTGAAAGTAGTTGAATGGCACATAAAAAGAGCTGTATTTGTAGGGCTGTAGCACAAAGGAAATAGTTGAAAATATGTCAAAACCAAAAATTTGTTCTTAAACATTTTAAGTAAATTTAAATGTCTAACAATGAGGCAGACCAAATAGCTTAGTGGATTGAAGCACAGCCATGCTGGCCCGGCCCCTGGGGTGTGCTGAGATGGCAATGGAGTCTGGACATGGTGGTGCATACCTGTAATCCCAGCTCTTGGGAAACTGTAAACAGGCAGATCACTACAAATCTGATCTAGTAGTGAGACCCTGAACACCTGTAGACCCTTCCATGAAATTAAAAAAAAATCTAGCAGTGGCCAGATACTTAAATAAATCATGCTGTGACCATATGGACCCCCCTTTTTTTTGGTGAAACTGGGGATAGAACTCAGGCCCTTGTGCTTGCCAGGGAAGCGCATATTCTACTGAGCCATCTCTCCCGGCCCCCTGGACCCTTTTGAATTCTTCAAGACTTTATGGCTGATTGAAGAAGCAGAAGTCATAACTGTTCATTTACTATGGTTAATGCTGTATATGAAATATACATTCTGGTAACAAATAGTGGAGAAAGCAATATGTAAGGAAAATGAACTGGAATAGTAGAATGACAGGGTGTTTTTTTCCTCTAAACTGTATATTGTATTACTTTCAGAATTAAGGAAATATTCCTAAAAATGATTTCTCAAGATCAGATGTTAACTGATGTGCAAGAGATGAGCTCAGATTTCAGTCTAGAAGTCAGCATTTGCCTGAGACAGAACAAAACAAATCTCTCACCCGTTCTCAACACGTTTTCCATGTACCCTTATGCATTTTAATGATTAAAGAGTAAAATAATGATTAGTGTGAGTCTTTAATTTACTTGGCCTCATCCAAGGAAAGCAGCCCCAAGAGTCTTAGCATAGATATTAAATTCCAGCCAGCATTCTGGAATATACTACCAGGGAGAAAAGAAGATTGTGTGGCAATAGCTTTTTTCTCTAGGCACCTAATGTAGTTAAATATTATAAAGCATTCACATCTCTTTTGTAATGGGGTGACCTTTTATGTGTAGGTAAGGCAACATGATATTAAAGGCCATTTCATATTTATCAAAATAAAGCAAATCTACTGTGGCCAGAATAATCTGGTTACTTTAAACATTAAAAGAAATGTTTAATATCTTAAAGTTTCATTTCAGATTGAATTTCAGACATTTCTAGGAGCCATTGCCAGAAATTCATGTTAGTCTTGTACTATACTTGAATGAAATTGGTATAATTTAGGAAATTTTGCTTTGATCTTAATTTAAAAAAAAATTGCCTGAGAAGTTTGAAAAGCACATTTTTTAAGCCTTGAACCAGAAAACAACAAAAGAATGCAGTATCCACAGGGAGAATTGATTGTCTTCTTAGGAATGTTGTTTTTTCCTTCTTTCTCTCTCTTTTTTCGGGGATCGAACTCAGGACTTTATGCTTGCCAGGCAGGTGCTTATGCTGGTGAGCTATCTCCCCAGCCTTCCTTCTTCTCTTCCTTGACATGACTTGAATGATGTTTTTGAGTGTGGACTTTTAATAATACTAGTACCTCAGTTGACTGAGATGAGAACTATTTCTCATCTGATAGTAAGTGCTGTTGGCAGACACCTGGTCAAGGGCAGTTTTTGCAAGCATTTCTATTTCTTGGTCTGGCTATTATAAAAGAAGCTTTTCCAGGCCAGGCTTAGACTGTAATGGGGCAAGTCCCCTGTAATTGACTGTCTTGGCCTGGACCAGGTGACTTCCTTTCAGAAGTTTGGAGTGGAAGATCCAGCCTATATTTGTTCAAGGTACTGTTGAGTATATAATTCCTTGGAAGCCTTTTAAGCCCCTTTCCCCCATAGAAGTCCGTTTTTAGGGAGTGAATAGAAATTAGGCATTTGGCCCATGTTGGTATTCTAAAAGTTGGAAAGGTGCTTCAGTCAGCTTTTTCCCCCATACAAAATCCAAAATGTGACCAGGTAAAGTACTGAGCAGCATTCTGATGCCTTTGTAGGATTTTGTGTGAGTTTGTTCCTGCTGGTATGGCTGGGCTTTTGGACACTCAGTAAGTTTTCAATAGAGTTACTGTAGAATAATACTGCACCATATTAAGAATGCCTCAGTCAGTCCAACTTTGTATGGAGGCCTTTCCATGTTCTACCTCCTGATGTTGCTTAAGAAAAGCCTTTATTTTTGGGGGGGGAGCACGGTGGTGGAACCAGGGATTGAACTCAGGCCCTTGCATTTGCCAGTTGCCAGGCAAGCACTTATTCGACTGAGCCAGCTCCCTGGCTTTTTTTTTTTTTTTTGGCAGAACCGGGGATTGAACTCAGGCCCTTATACTTGCCAGGGAAGTGCTTATACTACTGAGCCATCTCCCTGGCCCCAAATGAAGGACCATTTTGTATCTGAACATTCAAAACAGTTAGGATAGGTGTACAGCTACTTTCTCTTAATTCAATGAATAGAAAGATTTGTACTAATAGTGTTTGGACAGGATATCATGTCTGCATCTTGTACTATGAATAACCACTAAGAAGATAACAATATGCAATGTATTAATTATTGAAACTGTCCTACTAATCTGTTTTGAAACTGTCTCATTGCTATTTGTTTCTCAATAAAATTATTTTTTAAAAAAGGAAAGGCTGTTTCCTCTCGCTAGCTAGATAACACTGCATGATTTATTTTTTTTACCCTTTTATCCTTTTTTCAACAATTCAAATAATAGGTTCAGGTTTTGTTTTTCTCCCTGTGGTTTCATCTGTCAAGTTCTATGCTAAGTAATGTTTTTCAAGTAAAAGTGCTTCCAACAGTAAGAGCATCTTCTCTCTTGTAGCTCAATAGTAGCATATCAGCCTGCTGGAGACAACAGTCATACTTTCGATGTTACAGCCATGTTCAAGTCTATTGGGATCTTCCTTGGGATCTTCAGTGGATCTTTTGCAATGGGTGCTGCTACTGGAGTGGTGACAGCTTTGATATCCTTTTTTGTGTGTTTAACCAGATGAAGTAGTTGAATGTTATAATTCAGGGTCTCTCCTATTTATCGTATAATTATTAACCTTGTAACCAAGTACTTGGTCTGAAAACATGAAACAATACATTTTCATTGTTTTGCCCTAAAACTTTCACTGTAAGAATCTAATTAAACACAGGAATCCCTTGAAGATGAAGTGTAAGGTTGTAGATTAAACAGATATAAAGGTAGGTATATTCCAAAGAGCCTCTGGGTGTTCTGTGCTGCTGGTCAGCTTGGTAGTCTTCTGCTGTTTTTGGTAAGACGAACAGGAAATTTGTGTGGCGATGCCACATGGACAGAATATATAGTTCTCTGGTGAGGACATAGTGGAATTCATCCTGGCTGTCCTAAGTTTCGCCTTTGTTCTGTAGAGCTCTTGGCTGGGAGCCCAGAAGACCTGGATTATAATCCTGCTACTGCTACCAGTTAGCTGTGAGAAGTACTGGGCAAGCCATTCTTATATTCATTCAAAAGTCATTTCCTACTTGGCTGTATGTCCCAGATGCTATGCTCTGAGTATCACAGATTAACAAGACAAGTGGTACCTGGCTTCCCGCAGCTTCCAGTGTTGTGGTAGACCAAACAAAGTAGATGTTTTAACTCTTCACCTCCTTGCATCTCAGTGTAGGAAAGTAGGAAATTTAAATGGACCAGTACTAGATGATCAGTAAAGCTTTTCCAGCTAGAAAACTTCTAAAATAAATGCATGCTTTTTTTCAAGGATTGACGTCTCAGTTTGGTATATTTTAGCTTTGTGCTACAAAAGACTTCTACCATGGCTTTTTTTTTTTCTTTTTTCAGAACCAGGGATTGAACTCAGGCCCTTGCGCTTGCCAGGGAAGCGCTTATTCTACTGAGCCATCTCTCTGGCCCCCTACCATGGCTTTTTGTAGGTGAACTGAGGCATACATATATGCAGTAAAAGAATTGTAAAGAAGAAGCCATGGAAATAATATCTCTTTCCACCTACAGGTTCCTTGAAGTCAGGAAGTATATCTTGCTCATTTGGTTGTAGTAGGTAATTACTGGAGTGGCTCGAGATTCTATTCTGTGATTTGTTACAACTTGCCATGTGCCCTCTCATTGTCAACAAATACATGTTTTTTTACTAAAACAAGTGAGTGAAGTACCTCAGTTAGTTCATCATGGAATGAAGGGTCCACATCACAGATGTGTTAGAGGATTAAGTAAATATGAAATCTCAGGGAATTGCATGCTTTCATAAATATAAATTGCTATAATTATGGAATATGTCTTGCTTTGGGCTACAAATAGAGTGGTGTTTTGTGTATCCAATCTGTTGGCTTCATCTCTGCCTGTTCTTTTTGTAGGGAGCAGCATTAAAGAATGAACCCAGGGCCTTTGCACTGAGCTGCATCCCTAGCCTTTTTACCTTTTATTTTGAGACCAAGTCCACATAAGTTGCTCAGGCTGGACTTGTTTTTATTTATATGTTCCTTGGTCTTTAGTTGTTGAGACAAGGTCTCACTGTATATTCCAGGGTGGCTTTCAATTCATTGTTAGTCTAGTCTGGCCTCAAACTCATGGAGATCCTGCTGCTTCTGCCTACTGAGTGCTGGAGTTACAGGCTTGCACTGCCATGCCTGGCATGGCTTTGAACTCCTATCTCAGCCTCCCCCAGTGCTGGGATTCCAGGAGTGCATGGCGGTGCTGGGCTCTATCCTGTGTACTTTCTGGCTAGGTATGTGATACCCATAAAGCAGCAGGAGCAGTAAAGCTGTGAGGCTTCCTTATTGATGGGACGATCGCTTATTCCTCAGTAAGATACTTATTTTAAAGGTTTCTTGATATTGGTGTTTCATTGTTTTGTAGCTTCTGTGCTGAGAGGCTAGAAAATCCTTTGCTTGCTTTCTTGGTTGCCTTGCTTTGGCCATTATTTTTCTAGTCGCACTTCAGGATCCCAAGATCTTGTTACCAAGCTTAACAGTCTCACGTCACAAAGTTCACCAAGTTGCGGGAGTTCCAGTTGTTGGAGACCGGCTTGTTTTTCCTGATGTCCTGGAGCACCTTCCTTTTGGCTGAAGCATGGGGCTTCACAGGTGGGTTCCTTTCTCCTCTGGGCTGTGAGTGCTGGAAGGGAATGCCTTAGTGGGCCACATCTTCTCCAAGTAGATTAGTTCCTTTCGTGTTTGAATGAACGTGTTATGGTTGGGATTTAGGCTGTCATTTTAGAATGTAAAAAGGAAGATTTTCAATGTAAGCAGTTCCTCAGAAAAGTCAAAGTTAATGAAAATGTCACTACTATCCACATAAGCTACTTCCGTAAAATAAGAACCTCAGCATGAAAGAGGGGAGCCACCTCAAGATGTGAACCTGGGATTTCTTGTCTTTGTAGGTGTGGTTGCAGTACTGTTTTGTGGCATAACACAAGCACATTATACATACAATAATTTATCCACAGAGTCTCAGCATAGAACTAAACAGGTAAGACAGACTTTAGTTTGTAAGTAAAATTTTCACTCTCTCAGTGAAATGGAAGCTTTTTAAAAAAAAATTAAAGAATAACCTTTGATCTGGTCAAGGTTCTGTCTAGTCTTGTTTTGACTGTAGAATTGGATGGAGATGGGTTAGCTGCACAGCTAGGGGTTATTGCTGTGTGTTTCCAATAACCAGTTAGTTAGCTTCTTCATCTCTTGCTGTTTCCTAATCTCCGCTTTCAAAATGAGTGTTAGAGCCAAGTGTGGTGGCACATGCCTGTAATCCCAGCACTCAGGAGGCTGAGGCAGGAGGATTGTTGGAAGTCAGAGGCTAGCTGGGGCTCCACAGTGAGCGCAAGGCCAGCCTGAAAGACATAGTAAAACCCTGTCTCAAAAAGACAGAAAATAATACTGATAAAATAAAAAGAAGTGTCAGGGCGCTCACTTTAGCTTGACCAGAGTTGTGACAACGTGAAGCTGGGAACATGCCCTCCTCGTCTGGTGAGATCTCCTGAGCCATGCAGAGAATAGTGATCTCCTTCAGTGTCCACTCAGGCCCTGCAAAGCTGCTCTGTGCCAGTGGACAGGTACTGAATTGTCCTGGTACAGGGTACTTGGAAAAAACTAGAACAGGGTGTACTGTCTGGTGTAGAGATAGGTGCATGCTTGATATGCTTAGTGGTGAGAACTAGAGGTGTTCAGTTTTTTATGTATTTATTTTTTATGTATTTAGTACAGGGTCTACAGGGTCTCACTACGTAGATCGGACTGGACTCGTAGTGATTCTCCTGTTTTCAGCCTCCCAAGCACTGGGATTACAGGTGTGCACCACCACGCCCAGTCTCAATCAGCATCTCAGTGCGCCCCGGGGGTGGGGCTAGCAAGCATGTCGGGGATCGAATCCCGGCCTCTGTACTGTACCTAAGCAGGTGCTTTAGTGCACTGAGCTATCTGGCCAGCCCTTTAGCGGTATTCAGTTTTGCCAGATGGTCTGAAATAGAGAAATGAGTGTGGAAAGGCCAAATTGTAAACTAGGCTCAGTAGTTCCTTTTCTCTTTGTCCTGAGCTGCAGATTTAGTTTTTTTTTCTTTTCAAAGTTTTATTGATAAACATATAGCAATGAGACAGTTTCAAATCAAATCGAAAGTACAGTTTCAACAAATAATACACTGCATACATTCTTCTCAGTGGTTAATTGCCGTACAAGATGCAGACTTGTGATCCTACTTACAAACACCATTAGAAAAAATCATTCTATTCATTAAGAGAATGCAACTATATATCTATCCCAACCACTTTGAATACACAGATACAAAATGGACATTCATAGTTATACCCCAATTTTTTTTAAGTTCCGTTGTTGAATATTATAGGTGTGTAAACTCAGCAAAATATTCTAAAAGAGTACAGAAGCCCATAATATCATTCGGTTTTCTGTTTAAGGGGCAATGTCAGAAATTATTGACCTGAGTCCCCCACAGCTCAACATAACAACATGGCTTTACTTCCTATATTTCATCTTCATACTTTTCTACTGGATGGTTAAGCAGATTTAGTTTTGAACTGTGCTTTCCTCAATTGTTCAGAAGGAAATTAGGCTCCCCTTCGTGAGCATGTGTATCAGGGTTGCCAATCCTTTTTGCAAATCAGTTCAGTGCACTAAGCATAAAGAAGAAAACCAGAGGGGTTCAGCTTTTTCTAGGTAGCAAGGTGTGATGTACACAACCCACAGGGTAAGAGCTTCCAGTCCTGGCGTGGATATGAAGCTTATATACATAAAACCAACACTGGGACTAATAACAATCCTAGCTTGTGTGCTTTGGATTCCCTGTCATATAACACATCAGGCAGTGTGCTGGGAAACGGCTTGAGTCTTAAGAACTTAGATTGCTATCATAGAGGAAGTGTTAGGCGTACAAAGATGGGAAAGGTTTGAAAAGACTGAAGGGAAACAGGATAAACGCAAGAATAAAAAGACAGTGAAGTACATAAAAGAGGTTGACACTCTGTGGCTTGTAGGCCACATTGGCCCTTGCTGGCTTATGAGTTCAGAGTGGTTTTTTACATTTTCAAATGATAGAGAAAAAATCAGGAGAGTATATTTATGAACTATGAAAGTTAAATAGAATTCAAATTTTAGTGTCCATTAATAAATTTTCCCTTGCACATAGCCATGCTCGTTTTTTAAATGTATAGCCCATAGCTGCTTTTGTACTACACTGGCAGAGTTGAATAGTACAGCTTCTGCATCTCTTTCTTTTTTATTTCTTTTTATTTTTTATTTTTTTA